TTTTGGAAACTGATCAGCCAGATGTGCTTAAACTATCGTATGTTTTAGTAAAATAGCAGAGAGAGTCCTTTTTAAGCGTATCAGCTGTTGTTTGTGCTGTAATTTACACAAGAGTCGCTTGACAATTTGTGCAAAGAAACAACTAAGCTTTATGGATAACATATACAGTATCAGGACTGTAGCCAGCCTATTAAAAGGGGTTCTTTATTCTCTAAAAGTGGACCTTTCTGTAGTTATTCACCTCAAAATATGAGGTTCAAATACTGTATGCCTATTTACAAATGTGCATTTACACTAACGTATTACAGCTTCACATATAATTTAATGAGATTAGAATTTTAGAAATATGAACAACTATTTTTAATTGCTAATTTATTATCATCGATCATAAACCACAAACAAAAAAACGGCAATTTGTTAAAACTTGTTTTAAATTAAAAGCTGTAGCCTATATGCGAATAACAAACAGGCCAGCTCATTTCCTCAGTCAGAATTTGTCCATTTAAATAATAAAAGTCATCCCCACCAGCCTTTTATTGGCTATTTTCACAATTTATGATGGATATACTGTCAAAAATGGCAAACTCTGTACTTAGTCAGTGGGTCTTTCGAATCGCCTGGCTAAGGTCCTGACCATCATAACTATTAATGTTTATATAAATGAGCATTACTTATTAATATAATAAACATAAGCTGGCCTTTAGATGTTTGGATATTTTACAATATATAAAACGTTGTGATTTTGTGATATTGACATTAAAAAAATTTGAGAGCTAAAGTGGCAGTGTGCCGATTTACTTTGAATCTTTTGCTACTAATGTTTGTTTTTTGATCGTGCACCTGCCTTCAAGATTTTCTAGATGTGCGCACATTTCTGTATTTTAAAAGAAGTTTAAACATTTTAAATTAGTGTTAGCTGGACACATTTTGTGTCAAAGCAACAAGAAATGTGTTAATTGTATAGCCAACAAAGATTGATGTTGTGCTAACTGCGTTAAGAGTTTAGGAAACTTGTTAAATGTATTGAAAAAAAGTGTCATAGCCATTGTGAAAAACTGTAAATAAATGTTAATGTAATATATCCAGTACATCTCAGATTTTTTTCCCTGCAGTTTCTTCCTCTGACCCCAAGAGGGCAGTAAACACCACTTATTCATTTAGTAAAAAGGGCAACTTTACTAAAGGACTTTATACACAGCTTGCACTTTAAAGCCAATGCTAAACTTCAGACCCACTTCATATCATACATCTAATAGGCAGTGAAGATCATTGATTTTTAAGGAAATCAGATCTTAAACGTGACGATTTTGCAATGGAAAAACAGTTCACAGGAAGCCCTTGGGCTTTCTGACTGAAACTTAAAAGTCTGTGTGCATATAGTCTATTATTAATGTACCTGTTAAAAAATAATATTACTGAACCAACCTAAACACACATTTATTCTATCAAGATCTAAATATTTCTTTAAAAGTGTAGCATGCTATCCTAACTGATTTCAGTTTAACTTGATTCAGTTTAATAATTATATATCAGGTTTACTGTGTATCAGTTTATCCAGTGTGGGCCATTTACATGAATAATCAATAATTACCTTAATAAAATGGGAGTGGTCGGTGATATTAATGTCCTGTTTGTGGCCTGTATGTGAGGGGGCTTGTAAGTGACTCATGTAAGAATAAAGTTATGTTTAAAACCAAGCACAACATTGCTTTTCTTGTGAAATTCCCATTAAGTTTATTAAGGTGTATCCATATAAATCAGGGGTCACCAACCTCAGTCCTGGAGGCTGGTGTCCATGCGGGGTTTAGCTCCAACTTGCCTCAACACACCTGCCTTGATGTTTCAAGTATACCTAGTAAGACCTTGATTAGCTTGTTCAGGTGTGTTTGATTAGGGTTGGAGCTAAAATCTGCAAGACACCGCCCCCCAGGAACAAGTTTGGTGACCGCTGATATAAATGGATCAATGGCCAAGCCTGTACAATAAATTAAAAAACAAAAATCAAACATCACAATATTTGGGTTTCAAACAGGAGTGCAGTCTGCTTTACATGTACAAATATTTTAATATTAACAATGACATTATTTATTGTAATGCTAATTTGGCCATACTGGTAGCAGTAAACAAAAACACAACTATACAAACTAAATTAAGAAAAATTAGCATCTTTAAAAAAAAAAAGAAAATCAGTTTATTCTACTTTTATTCAGTGTTAAACAGGTTTACACTCTATATGAAGAAAAACAAATGAGGAACAAATGACATGCATGTCAGTGTACATGGAAATACCTTACTTACAGTAAAGCCCACAGTTCCCAAGGCACAGACATGGACATGCACTACACCCTCTATGCCACTGGTAAACATCTTAATAACATTATGAAATAGTATAAAGATGAAAAGTGACTAAATGATAATGGAAAAAATTTAAATATGACTTGTTTAATCATCTGTTACAGGGGTGTCAAACTCAGTTCTAGGAGGGCCGCAACTCTGCACTTTAGTTCCAACACTAATTAAACACACCTGATCAAACTAATCAAGTCCTTCAGGCTTGTTTGAAACCTGCAGGAAACTCTAGCTGCGTCCCAAATCGCATACTTATGCACTATTCTTAGCCATTTTGTAGTATAAATAGTGTAAGTAGTGTGTTCACACTGAAAACTCTAAAAACATTAAGTGCACTTTAATTACCCGGATGATGCACTCATTCAGCCGCTACAATGAAGTGTGTAATGATGGACACTTCACGCACTCAACGACCGCAGGTTTGCTCACGTAGCGGAAGGGGCGGAGCTATCGGACGCACATGTTGAATAACTTTATTTATTTTGGATGGTGAAAGCAAAATTCTCCTACGAGAGTGATTATAGCGCCTCCCGATGGTGAATGCGGCAATACTCACGGCAGGTATTATTTAATAATTCAGTCGTTTATTTCACTGATTTGGCGACCGTCAAACCTCATCAGGAAAACGGTTTGAATTTCCGTTTAGTAAAAAAACATTAGTGTGCCATTTGGGACGCCACTACATACATGTACTATCCTGTTGAGTGTGTAAGTGCATAAGTACATAGTGCATGAGTGCATAGTGTATAGAGCGCCATTTAGGACGCAGCTTCTGTTGTATGCCGCTGCTAAAAGTGGCGGGATTAAACAAGTGAGTGATTGGTCCATAATTTCTTAATAGTCACATGATGTGATTTCGCAGGTAAGAGTTTACCAAGCTTGAGCTTTCCAACACAGCCAACTGCAAAACTCATCACACTAGCTTCTATTTCTGTAAATGGAAGTCTATGGGATGAAAAGTGCAGTGTGACAGCAGGGTAAGTGTGTTGAGGCAGGGTTGAAATAAACTGGGCTGCGGCCATTCAGGAACTGAGTTTGACACCCCTTATCTATTAGGTAAAGATAAATAATAATAATAATAATAATAACAACAATTCTCTACATTTTTATAGCACTTTTCTGGACACTCAAAGTGCTTTACACAATTCTGGGAGGAATATCCTCATCCACCACTAGTGTGCAGAATCCACCTGGATGACCTGACGGCAGCCATATTGCACCAGACCACAGACCAGATTGGTGGAAATGAGAATATAGCTGCGTCCGAAACCGCATACTTCCATACTATATAGTACGCTAAAAACAGTATGCGAGCCGAGTAGTATGTCCGAATTTATTGAATTCGAAAATCAGTATGCAAGAAGTACCCGAATGACTTACTACTTCCGACGAGATTCTAGAGTGTGCATCCCATGCACGCTGCGCTATCCCATAATGCCCCGCGAGAGAATTCATGAGTGGAAGTGAAGCGACGCAACTGACGCAGGTAGGTCACGTGACCATGACAAAATGGCGGATGTAGTACGTCCGAATTCCATTCTTACTTTTCAAATTCATACTGTATAAAACGTAGTTTTCTAATAGTCGAGTAGTATGTTTAAATTAAAATGCAAAACCTACTGAGTAGTAGGCGGTTTCGGACGCAGCCTATATGTACATGTACACAGTGCTCAGCATACTGTATATGAGTACACCCCCTACAAATGTCTCATTTAAATGAATATTTTCTATAGGAAGCTTTACAGTATTATATTGCACATATACATTAGTCAGTAGTGAAGTCACATCTGAAAATAGAATTTTCAAAAATAGCAAACATCAAGAGAAACAAAACATATAGACAAGTCACTGTTTTTACAATGTTGTTTTCTATTTAAATGTTTTAATATGTCTGGTTTTTTTTGCAATATTTTGCATGAATGTAATTGCATTATCTTTCCATTTCTAAAGATGTTCTGTACCTAATTTAAAAAAAAAAAATTATATATATATTTCATAAAAATCTGTTTAATATATCAGTTTTGTTCAAATGCACCAAACTAGATTACCTATATTCACAGAGAAATTGAGGAAAATATTCATTTTCAAAACTGGGTGTACTCGTATATCCTGAGCACTGTATATATATATATATATATATATATATATATATATATATATATATATATATATATATATATATATATATATATATATATATATATATATATATTTACACTAATTATATTAATAACTGATTTATTTTATCTTTGCCATGATGACAGTAAATAATATTAGACTAGATATTCTTCAAGACACTTCTATACAGCTTAAAGTGACATTTAAAGGCTTAATTAGGGTAATTAGGGTAACTAGGCAGGTTAGGGTAAATAAGCAAGTTATTGTATAACCATGGTTTGTTCTGTAGATCATCTGAAAAATATATAGCTTAAAGGGGCTAATAATATTGACCTTGAAATGGAGTTTAAAAATTAAAAACTGCTTTTATTCTAGCCAAAATAAAACAAATCAGACTTTCTTCAGAAGAAAAAATATTATCAGACATACTGTGAACATTTCCTGAATCTCTTCAACATCATTTGGGAAATATTTAAAAAAGAAATCAAATTTTAAAAGGGTCTAATTATATTTTATTAGATATTGATCAAGATACCAGTATTCAGCCTTAGGTGACATTTAAAAGCTTAACTACGTTAATTAGGCAAGTCATTGTATAACAGTGGTTTGTTCTGTAGACAATTTAAAAAAATGGTTAAGTGTGCTAACAATAGTACTGATGGCAAGTTAACGAGGCCCTTTGAAATACACTCCTTGATCTTGTTTACAGACTATTGTGGTGTTTCGAGCATTGTTTTTCAGCGGCTTGAAGGTCTTGCCATCAGTCTGGGCTCTCCATGTTATGCTGTATGTGCGGTCCGTCTCCAGCTTCAGGAGGATTATTCTCATCTGCAGATCAGATTATATCTTCAGTAAAGCTCTGCTGGTGTTCAGACTCACCTGACCGGATCATCTCACCTTCTTCTCTATGGCCAACATGATGGCGGATTCATCTAGAAGAGCAGAGGATTTCACTTCCAGTCGCACAACCTGAGCTTTCACACGCTTAACAACTGTGTAGAAACACAGACATGAAGAATAATCAGAACATAACATTTTGTCATCTTATTGTCAGTTCTGGTAACAGTCAAAGTTACAACATGATGATCGTAAGCAAACCCACACACAAACACACAATCCCTCCATCTTTCTCACACGCTCTTCCTTCTTACACATAAACACTCTATATAATACACATATACGTTGCTCCAGACTCACTTTGCTACATGTTTCAGATAACAAACCCACTAGATGGTGCGGTCTAGATTTTAGTGAATCTAAAATGTATGTTACTTAGTCCCAATCCCAATTCTACTTTTTACCCCTACCCCTTGACACAGAGTGTGAAAGAGAAGGGCTTCATATTTACTATCAAGTGTGCTTTCACACCTAGACTTTTGTTTTGGAACCTGCCTTTTTTCCCCAGTTAGCGTGGTTCGTTTGGCAAATGTGAATCCAGCAATCACGCTCGGATCCACGCCAAATCAATTGGTCCGAGATCACCTGAGTGAGGTGGTCTAGGTGTAGCAGAGGCCATGGTCTTTAGCCTCCTTGTTACTGCAACTGACTCCCATCCGGAAGGTCGCCAGTTTGATCCCAGCACGGAGCGGGTTGGGTGGTGTAGGACTGGCGGAGTTACATTGGTGCCATGACCCAAATGGGAGTGAGGTTTAGGGGGGTGAGTGTAACGAAGTCCAGCTAGTTAGTTCTGTGCGGGTAAACCTCAGTCATCTGACCTCTAAAGGTGCTCTAGTGACAGACACTAGAGGCAATGATCTTTAGCCTCCTTGTTAGATAAACCCACTATCATGCAGTAGGTCGCCTTTTTTTATTTTTGTATTTTATTATCAGTAAAACAACGTTAACATTATACCCGACACTGTAAAAAGCTCATTCCAGCAACTACACTTTTCTGATAGAGTCTGTGTCATCGAGTGATACATGTGAAAGTATGTTGTAGGAATACTACAGTAAGGTCCATATATTAACACAGTTTAAACATATTTGGCTCTTTACACCAACATATTGGATTTGAAATGAAACTAAAGATGTGAAACAAGATGTGCTTTAACTGCAGACTCTCATCAGTAATTTGAGGTTATTTACATCCAAGTCAGCTGAACGCTGTAGGAATTACAACAGTTTGCATATGTGCCTCCCACTTGTTAAGGGACCAAAAGTAATATGGTTTCCTTGATTTCTAGTGTGGTCCTGGAAAAATCTCAGTTTTAAGGTCTATCTAGCCCTTCCCCTTTAGGCTAAAGAGAATTACCAAATGCCTACCCCTTCATGTGAACACGCAATATGAGGGGTAAGGGTAATAATTAGGGTTAGGGGTAGAATTGGGATTGGCCTTAGGGTGTTTTGTTGCACATTTCAGATACACGTCCAGCTATTGAATCACTAATCTAAACCCTGTCCTAAACCCAACCAAGTGTTACCAGAAACACACGTAAGAGTGCACTATCAACACATTGTGTAAGCGTCAGCTCAAGGCAAGGCAAGGCAAGTTTATTTACATAGCACATTTCATACACAGTGGCAATTCAAAGTGCCTTACATAAACAAGAATAAAAGAAACAAGTAAAATAAAAATAAAAACAAATAATAAAAATGTGTAAAAACAAAACAAAGCATAAAAACAGGTAAAATGTGTTATAAAAGAATGAAGAAGAAGAGAAAAACAGTGTTGCTCATTCAGTAAAGGCGCAGCTAAACAGATGTGTTTTCAGTCTTGATGTGAATGTGCCTAATGTTGGAGCACATCTGATCATTTCTGGAAGCTGATTCCAGCAGCGAGGGGCATAGTGGCTGAAAGCTGATTCACCCTGCTTTGACTGAACACTTGGAATTTCTAGTTTACATGATCTTAAAGATCTGAGTGATCTGTTAGGTTTGTATTTAGTGAGCATATCTGTAATGTATTTAGGTCGTAGGCCATTTAGTGATTTATAAACCAGTAATAATACTTTAAAATCTATTCTGAATCTATTCACAAGCACAAAACTGTACAAGGTGAGCTACTGAGTAAACTGACCACTCCAGAAAAGTGTCCATATGGAGATAACATGTTCAATACCAATTACAGACAAGGTTAAACTGTTTATTTAGTATTGTGTAAGACAACTGTAAGAACCTATTAGTTATTGATATTGTGCCCCTATAAATATATCTTTAGTGTGAAAATAGAAGAGAAGTTGTTGTCATACTGCCCCCTAATGCTCATTTTACCTAGAAACTGAAGTCGAACGTATGTATGCAGTATGTTTTTGTGATTTCACAAAGATTTTAATTGAGCCCGTGTTGTCTAAAACTTTTGACAGATAGTGTATAATTCTCAAAAAAGAAGAGACTCACCGCAGAAGAAAGAAAAGACTTTGTCACAGTTTTCATCCACGAGCAGTCCATTCACATTTACAAACGCACACTTTTCATTCCCGTCTGCGTTATTAGGCTCTCCTGAAGACCATCCCAGAGAGGGCCAGGACACACTGCTCTGGTCTGACCACAGCCACTGGTTCTTGCTCAGGCCGATCCAGGCTTCATACACGCTATACCAGATTAAGTTATTAAGGACATCAGTGTTGTCAGTCACACCACTGATGAAGGCCAGATCAACGTATTTTGTCCTGCAGAAACTCTGAGCCTCTATCCAGGTCAAATTAGTTCTTATAAATAAAGAAAACATCTGATTTCCTGCAAATGTTAGTTAAACAGATAAACCAGAAGTTAAATGTGATTTAAAAATGAAGTTCACAATTAGAATGATTGGCCACTATTAATTTAATAATCCTTAAAATAAACATCAAGCAAAAAGCAAATAATTTGCATTTAAAAAAAATCTAATCATAAAAACAAAGACAACTCAACACAATGCTGCCAAAAAGTATGTTACCTCTATAGCAAACAAAGGGCTTCAGCTGTGTGCAGTTGGTGGCGTACCAGAATCCATCGTTTCTGATAACTGCACATGCACTCTGTGTTCTGGGGCTCGGGTCTTCAGTCAGAGCCCAGGCTGAAAACAGCAGATCCTGACTCCGATATGACCAGCGCCACACACAGATGCTGCCGTACAGACCCACCCAGGTTTCAGGGTTTGCTCCACTCAAGGCCTTCTGGATCTCAAGCCTGTCGTCATCCGTCTGAACTGTGGGCAGATCCAAATAAAACTCCCTGCAGAAAGCCTGAGCTTCAGTCCAGTTCTTTTGTTCATTGATGAGGATGACGTCACTTAAGATGGCAGTGAACGGTCCTTTTGATAGAACAGAATATAAGCATCAGATTAATTCTAGAATGACATTCTTCTCCAAGAAAAGTACTTTCCATCCAATCATTCTGGATGTTAATTTCTTTCCTTCTTTCATCTAAAATAATGAAGGATTTTTCTCCATATAGTGGACTTCCATGGTGCTCAGTACTTCAAAACTACAGTTTTCGTATAGCTTAAAAGACTCTAAATGGCTCCAGATGAGTAATTGAGGCCCATTCACACTCATTGACAGAGTTCCAAAAATTATTCTGTCTTTAAAACAACAGCAAAGTTCAGACCACAACCATAAAGATAGTGACGTAGAGAGAAACAGTATTGTTTGTACAGGCAACATCAGGGCCGGAGTGGCACTGCTTTCAGCCCTGGAGTTTCAAGCCTTAGACCAGCCCACCTCAGTTCAAGACTATATTAAAATAACAACATTTCCAATTCAGTTTCTAATGGCACGATCACGTCTTTTTCAAGGAAACAGCTGCTTTCGAATTTCAAATGTTTTTCATAAATATGAGAAGATTAAAGGGGAGCTAAATCTCCAACACTATTCTTTAAAACATCACAATGTCCATTCCTGCAATATCTGAATATATATATTCTGTGCAGAATTATTTATAGATATCCAGTTTTTTGTAAAGGTGATCACACAAATAAAATATTTACACCTACATAGGTAATCCAAACAGTATTATATGTCTTATCACTAAAAATAAAGAAAAAAATTACTAATGAGAGGTTTGAACTCGGATCGACGGCATCGCAACACAACGTGCTGACCACTTGACCACAATAGCACTCTTCTTTAGATTTCTGATCAAGATATGTCAGATTTATTAATGTAGAGAATCATCTGATTTTCATTGAGCAGGTGTAATATTCATTAATATTTTTATTGTTCGAATTGTAATATTCCCTAAAGTGCCGCTGTTTGGGGGTCGAATGAGCTGCACTCTGCATTTTGCTCATAGAGCTGCGGCAAAATACACTGCAAAAAATGCTTTTCTTGCTTAGATTTCTTTGTCTTGTTTCTAGTCCAAATATCTAAAAATTCCTGAGATTGCAAGCAGCTAAGGACACCGGCCCTCGCAGCCAAAAAATGGACCAGCGCACCGGGAATTCCCGGTCCTCCCGATTAGCCAATCCTAGGCAACATTGTAAAAATGCTCTGCTTAAGCACTATTTGCAAAGATCATACAAAGATGTGACTCTTTAAGGCTACTTAATATAAGTAGGGTCTTTAATTTGAACAAAATCTACAACAAAACTTTCAGCTGACACCAATACCAAACATTGGGAAATTGCCTACAGTAATATGCAGTACAAGTTTTTTGTTTTTTTGTAAAAAAAAAATATTGACAATGGGTTCGATCCATTAATCGCTTCGAAATATAAAGACAAGCATAAGAAAAAAATACGAAAAGACAATTGAAAGTTATTTTTGCTATTCCATATTTCTTCTAACGACGTTAACTTTTGTCATATAATGAAACATTCCTTTAATAAGATTAATAAAAAGCCAGTGCTATATAAAATGAACATATTTTGCTGCAAATGAAACCAGGATATGCACTGACTGAAGTGTAGAGATTTTCTTGTCTTTTATTCTGTCACAGACTTACCTAGTAAAACAAGTAGAGGAAGAGTTGTCTGGATCATTTCTGTTGTTTAGAGTTGTTTACTAAACAAAAATATAAATAAACAAATGAGGCATAAAAAACAAGTAAATTGTTATTTGGTGCAAGTTATTAAAGTTACACATGTAGCAGTTCTGAAACGCATTATGTGGAATAAAAAAAAAAAACATTACTGCATAATACCTTACAATTTTAGTTGAAGTACTTTAACACTGAAATCTTAAACAAACTATTCTACTGACTTCCTGCTACTAACAAAACATGCAATATACACAACACAACATACACACAAAGACACCAGCTTCATGAAATAAGCATTTTAAAAATATATTGCAAGTTGTTTGATGAACATTCAATATTAAAACTTTTGCTATTCCTTCATATTGATCATCTTTAAATTAAAGAAACAGTCCTCAAATAAACTGATATAGAAACAGTGTTCACCTAAACATTCCCCTGTAAAATAGTCCATTATTCTTAAGCACTTTGAAAAATTAATCTGATCCTCATTCATCTGCAATAAAATAGACTAAAAACAATAATAGCTGGCTTTGTGAACATCTGAATGACTCTCTATAGCTTGTACCATTATTAAACCTTATAGATAATAAGCGTCTGGTTTGTTACCTGTGATGTGGAAACAGTGGAAACAGACTGATTTCTGATTTCCATCCTGACTTTGTAACAACATGAAGATCCTTATTCAAATATCTGCATGAGCATGTGCAGTAACTAAGCTCATGCACATTTAAATGCAGCTTCTTCTTTTACATCATTTGAATATTTGACATTTTAGCAAAAGTCACTCGTGAAATGCAAGTTAAGAAAAACCCTGAATATTTCAGGCAGCTTGCAGCAACTCCATATTTAGTATTTTTGTGGTGCTTTGGCTGCAGTAAACACTATTAAATCTGTGTTTTAGGAAGTGTGCAATGCTCTAATGCTGCATTCACACCATCATTGCAAAGATGTGAAGGCAGCGCGAATGAGGCGATTCGTGGAAATGAAGTGGCCCGAGTAGAGCGTTGTGCGTGATTGACTTGCTTAATTCGCGTAAAGCATGTTTCGCTCAAAACGCTCCAGTTCGAAAATCTGAACTTCAGCGGACATTCGCACCAGGTTAACCAATTAGGAGCTTGCTCTTGGGCGGGGCATGATTATGACGTAGCGTCTGTTGTTGGTGTCCCGGGGGAAATCCTCCAGCGACACCAACAACAGTTGATCAAACTGGGCTGGGCTCAGTCAGAAGCACCGCTGAAAGCCTCCATCATCCAGGTATAGTTTCTGGAGGAGTTTATAAACTCAGAGCTGGTGCACCACTGAAAGGATCTAATAGACTCAGATACAGCTCCAAATGGATCAACGCTGTTTTTCAGCCTTCACAATGCATAAAAACAGTTATTTTCTCAACAAAATCCATGTTGACAATTTAGCAACGAAGCTACCCAAATTCAAAAGCTTCCCAAATCCACATGCAGAGGTGTAAATACAAAAATTTGGTTTTAAAGAAAACTTCCATGGTGCTCAGTACTTTTTTAAAGAAAACCCCTTGAATTTTCATAAAACACTATTGAAAGTGTTTAAATATCTGTATATGTTGTCAGTGTTATAATAAACATCTAAAAGAAAGAGACGCGGTTTTTGTATTTTTTTTATAAACTCAAATTTGAAAGTGTTTAGGTTCAGTGTGGTCTAGCGTGCTGTAATTAATTTGGCTGGTTCCTGCACATGTCTGTAATATGCGAAGTGTTGTATAAGCAGGAAATGGTTCAGTCTAGATTTACCCCCATGCAGTTTATGTAACGGTATAGCCCTGATGTGTGTTTGTGTGTGTAGTTGAAGATGTAGCCTTTTCTGTTTTGTGTGTAGCCCGCAGTGCTTGTATTAGCCTAATAGCGACAAAAAGTAAAAGTTACAACACGAAGTTCGCCCAAATTTAAAGTGATTTTGAGGTGGAGGAGGTGGGAAAGGGTCGTTATCGCAGCTTGCGCCTATGGTTTATGTGCTTTATGATGTCCTCCACCATTAAGAGGAATGGTGTGGGTTTAAGCGAGATCTCAGGTCTGGTGAGAGCAAATTGTGGCGACTGACCACTTTCCTCCATGTTTCCTCAGTTGTTGCTGTGGAGAAGTTGAATGATGTACAGAGCGGAACGCCTCAATAAATCTGATCTGCCTGTTTACATGACAGTCGCATTGTCACATGACCAATTTATATCTGATTTATTTCCACATATGAAGGAGGCTTGAAACCAATCTCTGATTATCTGAATGCATGCGCTTGTTTTCCTGTTTACATGGTCATAGAAAAGATCTGATCTGTGTCACATTTGATCAAAAAAGAATTCCGAATTGGGTCACATTTAACTGGCAGTGTAAACGGGGCCAGAGACACGCCTTTTGCCCAAAATGCATCCGAGCGTAGATTCTGAATCCCACAAAATATTTAGGATTCGGCCTTTACTTTCGCTTTCTAAAGTCTGTTATCAGTATGAAATTTGGAATCACTATTTTGGAGCTGACTGCGCGCGCACAGCCGTGAGAAAAATATTAAATTATAATTAACAAACGACGATAATTTTTACTATATACTCTGAGATAACAAAAAATGGCTGCAAAATATGTGTACACCATTAAAAAATGAACAATCAACTAATTTACCTTTTTAAAATATTCTACACTTTTTATTCTTGTAATTATTATAATTTTTAACAATATTGTGTTTTTATTTGTTATTTTAATTATATTAATTTATTAAATACGGTGACAACCCCAGGGTTCCAGTTTGGATGTGGCAGATCCTAATTGGGTGCCATGGTTGCTCACCAATTGGTTCAAAGCAAATAAATGCAAGTGTGCGCTAGCTTCTGGAGGACGGTGGGGCTACTTGGCCGTCCTCGTGTCAAGACCATCTCTTTATTTCTGCTACCTTATGTTTATTTTTTTGGCATTACTTATATGTGTAGTTAAAGTTAGTTATTTTCCTTATTATTTCCTAGACGTTTATTTGTTCCTTGATTTGTTGTTAAATTAAGTTGTATGTATAATAAATAAGCTGCATATATTTTTTGTTGTTTGAGGTCTTTTAAGTTGCGACTTGAACGAGGGGATCATAACAATACTTTATCAGACATCCCAAGTTGGGAAACATCATTTCCGGGGGACACAGAGATTATTTGCGAGAGGTCACGGGAGAGTGGGTGCCTGAAGAGGGGAGGGGGCTATCTGAAGAGTGGTGGGGGCCTGTGGCGCGTCATATCTTAAGAGCAGTGGCTGATGAACATTGCGCTGATGTACCTAAAGAGCGGTGGAGAGTGAGTTGCGCCGATGTACAGTACCTGAAAAGCGGTGGAGGGTGAGTTGCGCCGATGTACAGTACCTGAAGAGCGGTGGAGGGTGAGTTGCGCTGATGTACCTGAAGAGCTGAGAGGAATGTGGTGGAGACTAGTTAAGGACCAGGCAGGAAAGGCGTGATTTCCGGGAGATTATCATTCGTTAGCAGTCATCCAGGAGTCTTTATGCATTTTCTGGATACTCCCGGAACTTCCAGGAGACTTAGGATGTCTGCTTTATACATATCTTAAATGCTTTGTCAATACTGTACAAAATATGTGCATGGCTTCCAAATAGCATAAGAAAGAAATAGTGGATTTCTTTTATTTCAAGAGCCTTTTTTAAAAATAATGTTAACCCATTGAAAAGAAAGGGTGTATACGAGTGTCATTAGAAATAAAAATATAGTTAAACAAGTTTTTTGCTTGTTACATGTAGTTGACCATTAAAGTGCTGTGGGTAAAAGGCGTGTTTTAATCTGTCTACCACCGCAAGTTTATTTCAAACCTGTGGGAAGCACTGCACTGGCTTGCTTGGTTTGGGACTTGTGAAGCTGCGCATCAATGGATTCTCTCTTCAGTGTTTGGGCTTTCAGCAGTGAACATTAAACCACACTGAACTGAACTGAACTGAACTCTGAAAACTGGACTGACACTTTCTCAATCTGCAAGAACTTCTATGTGTAGCTGCTTTGACAATCTACAGTGTAAAAGTGATTTATAAATAAATATACATTGAATTGAATTAGTTTTTTTGGTTTTTAATATTTTTATTTGTCTACCATTTTCTGTTTTTTTGTTTCTTTTTGCACATATTTACCTTTTCCTTTTAGCTGTAAAACAACAGAAAGCAAATACCTGCAGCCCATCAGCTGTTGTTTGCACTGCAATTTACATGTCCAACCCAGAGAATCTATGGTTTCAGCCAACTCCACACATTTAAATGTGCATTTAACAAATTAATTGTATTAATTTAATTTGTTGCAGACACAAACACGGGATGTTAATTTACAAATGTCTAGCTTACAGAGAGATAACTTACATGTTCCTTCTTTAAAGCTAAAGCATTTACGTTTTCCTATGCATGCAGTTCTTGCAAGACTTCAGTGATTTTATTGTAAAAACAATTAATAAAACTGCACTAACAGGACATTCACGGTTAAAAGCGGCATCTGAAATGGGTCATTTAGTGGATATTTTCATGCTCCACCATGATTTTAAAGCACTGCCAAAGTCCGGATGTAAATCAGTGTGGTTGAGCTCATACCGACACATTTTGCATCTTTAAAACCGGTTTTGCATGGATTGCTCATAAATTTTGACAAGCAAACCTGAACCGCAGTTAGAAAAACAAACAGAACTGGAGCTCATATACGTAAAGAGTAAACAATCATTTTATTAAACAGCAGTAAACGTGCAAACCTACATGGGCAGGTAAAATGAATAGGTGTTTATGTCCAAATGTTTTTTATAAAATTACACGCGTCTATGGTGTACATTTCCAATTAGAAGCTAATTTTGCTGGAAACAGGAGCAGGTGTTTTAGCAATGCTACTAGCATTTGAAAAAGCCACAGAAAAAGTATATTCTTCAAATTTATTTTTAACATGATCATGTTTTTGTCATTATTAACAATTGTTTTATAATACAAAATAAACAAAAAATATATAAACAAGAATTGGCATAATACATCTTGTTTAAATAAATGGGGAAGGGTTAAAATAAATGGGAAAAAAGCTTTAAAATTAGTTGCTAAACAATTTTTTAAACATCATATACTAAAATTGGCATTTATTTATTCATCCAGTCATTGGGAATGTGTGGGAGCTTTTAATTTTAATTTTTTCAATGATTTACAACATGCACTACATATGCTAGGTTTAAATCCTGTGTTGGGTCAAAATGGAAAAAGCTAATATTGGGATAATATTTTTATTTATTTATTTATTTTTTTAACCCAACCATTAGGTTTGTCTACATTTGATTCAGTGCAAGGTTAAAACAACCCAACATTTTTTTTAGTTTCTAAATTTTATACTTAATTTCTAAAAACACAGGGCTTCATGATCTGATATTTTAGCAATAATAAGATCAGACAATTTGGGAGATAAGTGTGTGCTATTCTTGTAATTCAAATTTCTTTTAAAAGCATGCATAATTTATACATGCACATTCATTCTTGAAAAGGTCACCCATGACCCAAAAAAAAAAAAAAAAAAAAATCTTGAGTAACAAGTTTCTCTACACTAGGTTTGCTTCCTGAAGTGTTAACTTGAAGCCACAAAACTCTCATTTTAGTGTTTGAGAGAGATTTACATTTAGTAAATAAAGATCCTAAAAATTAAAATTACATTTAGAGCTCTATTTTAACGATCTAGGCAATCTAAAGGCTCCTACACACCGGGATGCTTTTCGTTTGTGTTTATCGTCAGCGTTTTACGAGACGTTTTTTTTTGCACTTAAACCTAATCTATTTTTTACTGGCGTCAATCAAAAGAGTATGCTAAATCATTCAAAGTTAGATGGTGCTAAACAACTTTAAGCTTCTGACACCTGCTTATTACACAGAAGAAGAGGAAGAGAGGAAGTTCACATGCTTGTCGTTAAAGTTACTGTTGACTCCAACAAGCATGGATGGTTTAAGCAGCAGCTCCAGCTATAGCGATGAAGAAATGATTATTCACCAGAGCAATAAGCAGCTGCACGTTCATATCGCCTCTGGGCGTCTTCTTCAATGTGCGTTCGCATTGACAGTTTTGTGCTTGAGCGCCTCCAAGTGCTGATTACTATAACTTCAGCAGCTCCGTGCACGTGAACAAAAGTGCCGATCTGATTGGTGGAGAAGGTTTTGCGCGCGTCAAAAGTGAGCATAAGGTGTTTTTTTTTTTAAATGACGCTATTGCACCTGGCGTTTTGCGTGTTGGTGTGCACAATCACATTGACGCCCTTTATTTAAACACAAGGCTTTAAAAGTCAACGAAAAACAAGAGCAAAACACATCTCGGTGTGCACGGGCCTTAAGTCTAAATCTAAATTTTTTTTTATTAAAACAAATATAATTCTGCATATAATAAATAATAATGCTAATAATCATATCATTATAATAAAAACGCAAGTTGTCATGAATAAACTGAAAAAAGCCCCCCAGACATGAAGGCGGAGGTGATTTTTATATCTATGTAGTTAAATATTAATAAAATATTAAAACATTTTTGTGACATTTTAATCCTTAATCCTTTTTTCCATATGTAAAGATATTTATGTATTGATCTACATCCTGTGTGTATTATTCATGTGAACCTGAATGGGCTTATGACTAATGGACTCTGCACTGGACTTTAGAGCAGCTTTTAGTTGGTCAATCATGTGCTCTATTTTAGTTCCTCAAAATAACAACGCGCCAACAATACGCCTTAACACACCGCCTTTTCAGACCAGCACACCCATTAGTCCACAAAGTGGTGCAAATGGATTTGCTATTTAAACAACGTGGCACAAAACGTGAAAATTACTGCTGCGCTGGTCTAAAAATAGCAACATATCACGTCAAACTTGCTTGCGTTTTTTTTTTTTACGTATCCACCATTAAGAACGCATCACTTTTATAGTTTCATGAAGACACATCTGGTTCATGACATGACACTAGAGCTGCACGATTAATCAAAAAAAGATGGCAATCTCGATTCGACCCTACACGATCTGAATTTAGCTTTTCTATTAAGCCAATTATATATTCAAGGTCAGGAGAGAAGGGTAAAGGCAGTCGCACAAGTCTTCACAGCAACATAGACAGCAATAAGCAGCATGGAAAGCTCCAAATGGCATTAAAATTGTCACATACAGTATTTTTAAGGTATAATTCACCCAGAATAGTAATTTCTATCTTAAATGTAATGATGTATTCGTGGGCGCAAAATGACACGTGAGCTGACACACTGTTTGTTTACTATTGAGAGGATGCGCGGGTGTCCGCCATTGATGTCTACTTTAGTTAACAGAATTTACATATCCTGTGAATGACAGCTAATAAGGTTGTAAATGATGTTCAGTTTGTTGCCCAGAGCGATCGTTTGCGGGTAATTTACATGTGTGTGTTTTTTTCCAAAGTGACGGCAGTCATGACCGCACTCGGCAGTGAAAGTGAAACCAGTCTGCACATCATTTAGATCAGGGGTGTCCAAAGTCGGTCCTGAAGGGCCGGTGTCCTGCTGATCTTAGCTCCAGCTTGCTTCAACACACCTGCCTGGAAGTTTCTAGTATATCTAGTAAGAGCTTGATTACCTTGTTCAGGGGTGTTTGATTAGGATTGGAGCTAAACTCTTCAGGAAACCGGCCCTCCAGGACCGAGTGTGGACACCCCTGATTTAAATGATCATTTGGCATTTTAGAGTTAAGATTAGGGCAAGCATTTGATATGTTTTCTTTCACAGCAAACACATGGTGTTGTGTAAGAGAATAAATGTTTAACAGTGTCAGTATAGCTACTCTAGCAAATATAATGTCAAATATAATACAAGAAGGAATCAGATCATGTCAAATGTCTCATTTTTCCACAGGTCTCAAACATAATATTTCAACTATATAATTATGAATAGTTGTATTCTGATGTCACTTTACTGTGAATTAACAAACAGGACATAATGAAAGTCTGTTCAAGTCAACCACTTCAAGTCTATACAAAATTGAGCATTTTAACCAGCGGTAGAGCTAAACATAGGCCTAATATTGTTGTTTTACCATATGTTTGAGAATAATATTAATAATAATAATAGCCTACTTATTTTAACCTTTATTTTACATCTACAGAATCATGAGACAACCCTGATCTTTATTTTAAGCAAAAAAAAAAAAAAAAAAAAAAAAAAAAAAAACGATTTTCATTTTAGCCAAATTGTGCAGCTCTACGACACACCGCAGACTTGTGCACTGCAGTGGAGATTGCTGGGTTTGCAACACATATATTTTTCAACTTCTTCTAACTACATGAAAAGTCTGTTTAACTGGAAGTACAATAGAGTAAAGAGCAGGATCTGTAATTATAACTGGATAAAATCAATAATGACTATTTGTGAGCGTCTGAATTATTTTCTATATCTTCTACTGCCTGCTTTCTTGATTCTGCAAATCTAGATAGTGAACTGAGCTGATGACATATTAGATTGGGAGGAGCTGTAACCTGTTACACTTGTTAAATAAACCAGTATTTGTAAGAGAGCTAAAAATCCAGACAGAAATTCAGACAGAGGCTGGTGTGCAGGAACAAACACTTGTTTTTCTTTTTCTTTTTTAAATGGCAAAAGTGTCAGTTCTTTAATGAAAACATAGGGTAAAAGAGTTTATAAAAACAGCATTTTACAGCTGAAAAAGGGTTTAATTGAAGAAAGAAAGTGAAGTGGAAACATTCAGTGCAGTGATCGCCATGAACTCCAGGTAAGATCAAACTCAGCTGTGTTTGTTGGTCGGTAAAATTTCCATTTTTTCCTTTAGCTAAAGCTAAAACAGTTTTTTCTTCTTACTGTAATAGGTGATACTACAATTTGTGCTTCTACAACATTCCCATTAATCATTACTGTAAAGAAAAGTGCTGTAGATTATATCTAAATACAGGTCACTGACTGCAACCCAGTGGACTGATGGAATTAAAAATTATTTCACTAAATAAATAAATAAATTTTATATTATTGCAATTAACGATCACTGATTCAATCCATCAAACAATCAACTGCCATGAACAAGGAGGGGGAGCAATAATGACATTTTAAACTAATCAAATATATGCATAAACCAAAAGTAAAAACTGGGTAGATAAAAATAATTTAAATTCAAATTTTTCAACTAAGACTTTATTTAGTACAATAGGGATCATTTGAATGCATACGCTTTCATCATCTATCAATTACAAGTCGTCTCAGTATGTGGTGCAGTGGCTTAACAAAAAGAGATTTGGACTTGTGATCTGAAGGTCAAAGTTCAAGTTCAAGAATGACTACATGTTCATCTCATATCCTCTCTCATTTTCGTTCATCAACTCCTTGAAGTTTTCCACCCACCTTCTCAACTCAGTCTCCTTAGTACTTGTCAGCACATTTCCAACAGGCATCCTTTTAAATCCATCTTGGCTTTACACAAACTTCCCAGCAAATCAGCACATGTCTCTTTCCCCTTCCTCAAAGTCCAGCTTCTCAAAGATTTTCCACTTTCTTTGCATACCATTTCCTTGTACTCCTTGCTACTTCATTTCAAACTATGTCAATTTGCTTTCACCAATCTATTCCTCCTAATACCTTCTTGAAATTCCTCATTCCACCACCAAGCCTCTGTCTTTTCCCACTACCCAGATATCATTCCAAATCATTATCACCATTTCTGCCATGGTCACCAAGTTGTTTCATATGTCTTCCTCTTTATGTTTTCAACATTTTATGCTTGGTTCTATCCTCACTTTCTCCCTCTAATTTACCTCCAAAGTCATCCTACAAACCAACATCTGATGCTACCTTTTAACAAGATCCCGACACCCCTCCGGTCTCTTTCAGGTTGATCGTTTCCTCTTTTTTCTTGCAAAATGTACTACCATATAGCCCTTACACATTCTTCCCCCAACACCACACCCCACCCATCACCTCTTCATCACTTCTGTTTCCTTTGTCCAACATTCCCACTGATGTCTACTCCAATTACCAGTCATTCTTCTTTAGGTACCCTCACCACCACTTCATCCAATTTCAATCCAGTCTTCTTTTACCAATCATAGTGCCAACATTGAACGACCTCAAGTTCACTTTCCTACCGTTGATCTTGTCTTGCTGTGTCTTTCTCTTCTTTTGACCTCCCCACTGCTACCCTGCCCATTTGTCTGTGCTTGGGCCTGACACTGAGATTGTCCAACATTATGCAAACCCAATGGTTGGGTTTTAATTGCATAAGAAGAGTCAAGCAATGAAGACGCAACAAGAAACACAGTCTAATCTGAATTCCAGTGTAGGACCAGCATTAGAATTATGATGGGTTCACGCAAAACACAGATCACATCTCTTGCTGTAGATCAGGACTCTCCAACCTTTTTTGTAGCACTAGATGGTGTTCGTAATGATAATTTTGTCAGACATCAGGGGTGTGGGTGGTGGGGAATTGAGGAAGTGCAATCAAGTGTGTGTGTAAAATGTGGAATGTATGGTGCGGAATTGCATATTACGCAACAGTTCACATAATTCAGCTTGAGCTAAATTTATGTGAGTTGAAAAACAAAATCCACTAATAATCAGAGCGAGTGATGGAGTGCTCCGCATTTGGTGTAAACCCACCATAAATAATAATGGGATGAAGTGGAATCCCGTGAAGGTAAATTCAAGAGTTCACTTAGCTGATGATTGATTATAAAGCTTGTTTGGCATGCTGTCCCAGAGCCCTGACCTCATATTAGGGCGTACTCAAACTTTGCTATCTGAACCGTGCCCAGGCCCTTTTCCCAGATCGTTTGAGAAGTGTTGGTAATCAGAATCAGGCTTAGGCACGGTTCACTTGGCCAGCCCTGGCCCGGTTGGAAGAGGTGTGCCAGAGCGCGGTTCACTAGGGCTTTGGCGCGGTACGCTTGTGTGTGAGTGCAAAACAGGCCTGAGATCAAAACTAAAAGCGAGACGTGACTTTTAAGAGACTGTTTGATATGGATTTATTAATCATTCTTACGGTTCAGTGAACGCAAACTGTCATAGTTTATTAAAGACGCAAACCCCTCACTGCACGACAGCTGCACCTTCAGCAAACCTTCTAATTCCTGCAGCACGAGGACTTTATGATTGTTTATGAGAATCAGCAGTGGCTGATCTGTTTGGCGAAATATTTGACCGTGTGTCACTGCACGAAACAATATAACAGAAGTAATCTCCACTGTGCTTGGCGAGAGCGCTCCTCTACTGAATAGCACATCATCGATGATGTAAGCGTGCCCAGGCCCGAATATAATGTGAGTGCGGACCGTCGGGGGAGACAGGAGAGGGGGACAAGGGTGCTTTGGCCCGGTTCAAGGCAACTGTACTTATTGCGAGTATGACCTAAGATTCGAGCATGGGGCTCCCTCTCGTTTGCAGGGTGAGAGGGAAGTTTGAGCTCAGGTGGATCTCGAGAACCCTCTGCTTGTTTATGGCAAATGCAAATTAGGAATTACTAAGGAGAGACTTGGTTTGACTTCGATTTGAAACTGGAGATTAAGGGGGAAAACCCACGAAACATGGGGTGAACATGTAAACTCCACACAGAAATTTCAACTTGACCAGTTAAAGCCTTGAACCAGTGACATTCTTGCTGTGAGGCAACAGGGCTAACCACTAGGCCACTGTGCCTCTCTGTCAAGAAAAAAAAGGGTGGAGTAGGTGGTGGAAGGAGGGATTCTTTAAGACCAAGATAGCTAGGGTAAGATGCTCTGGTTATTTATAGTGAGTAAGTATATTTTTTGCCTCACATTTTCCGCCCAAGTAAAATTAGTTGCAAATAAAAACAATATTAAGACTTAAGACAAAATCTGCAGCAAATCAGTTACGAAATTATGCATCATTTGCCAACACACATGAACATTTGAAATAGAGTTGGTTTTAACACAGTATTAGGAATGCTAGAGATTTTGGTAACAATAAAAAAGGTTATTCGCTGAAAAGAAACACACACACAAAAAAAGTTAAAGATTCTAGACAAATTCAATAAAAAAGTATCCCAAGATCTATCCTCAAGCTGAGGATAAACAACTTCGAAAACAGCATTACAAGCTTTATTAAAAACAAACCAGTCTGATTTTATTCATCATATTTCCAGCAAGTCTTGGTTTTACATTTCATTCTCCAACTAGTCATTATTGTTGATCATGTTTGCTTTTAATGTTGGTTATACATTAGTTATAAAAACATATTTTAAGGCATTCACAGATGTATTAATGTAAAAAACAAAACTCCTTATTTTACAGAAAGCCAAAACTTCCACCACGCAGACCAACATTGATTTGGCAAGGATCTCCAAAGCGATTCCGTCTAGACACAGAGAGAGTAGTGCTTGATGATAACGGGAAAGTTCGAAAATGGACTTACGGTACAAAAGACGCCAGTAAACAAAACAAAATCATTCTGCTGGTGGGAGAGACCGGTGCTGGTAAAACGACTCTCATCAACACCATGGTCAACTACTTAATGGGAGTGAAGTTTGAGGATGAAATATGGAATGAAATCACAGAAGAAGAAGGTGGAAATCAAACAGAATCCCAAACCTCTGAAATCACCATGTATGAGGTGTTTCATGTGAAGAGCTCCATTTCTCTCACCATCATTGATACTCCAGGTTACGGAGACACTAGAGGACTGGAGAAAGATCTGGAAGTTGCAGAGAATTTATCTGCTTTGTTCCAGAGCAGTGATGGAGTTCGAGAAGTCGATGCTGTGTGTTTTGTGATTCAAGCATCAAAGAATCGTCTCTCAGACAGACAACATTACATTATCAGCTCAATTCTGTCTCTGTTTGGGAAAGACATTGTGAACAACATCGTGTTTTTAATCACACACTCTGATGGTCTTCCTCCTAAAAATGTCCTCGGTGCCATTAATAAAGCTAAAATCCCCTGCAGACGAGACAAAAATGGTGAACCTGTTCATTTCCTGTTCAACAATCGTCAGGCTGAAGCTCGTCAAACTAAAGAACGTTACATTCAGGCCCAAAAAGATGCCTGGGAGGACAGTATGAATGGTGTGAAGTACCTACTTGAATCTCTAGAAGAAAAGAACAGAAGAAGTTTAGAGTTGACTTCAGATGTCCTGATTGAGCGCATTCAGTTAGAAGCATCTATTTGCAACTTGCAGCTGAGAATCCAAGAGAAGGAGCTGAAAAAGGCAGAGAAAATTCAGATTCAAGAAGCAATGACAAAAAACAAGGAAAAGATTGAACAGTGTAAAAACTTCAACATTAATGTAAGAAAGACAGTCAAAACAAAGGTGCTCATTGACAATGCGTCATGGAAAAACAGAAAGGCGACGACCTGCACGGTCTGTGAGGAGAACTGCCATGAGTTTGACTGCTGGTGGGTTTCTGGTCCCAAGAAATGTGAAGTCATGAGAAATGGATACTGCACAGTGTGCACAGGGAAGTGCCACTACACTAAACACGTCAAGGAGAACAAGAAATACGTCTTCAGAACCTCAAGCATCATGATCGAGTTTGATATGATAAAAAAAGAATATGAAAAAGCCCAAAAACAAACCAAGACATATTTGAGTTTAATGCAAGATCTGGACAACGAGCTGAAGGAGATTGACGACCAAAAGGCAGTGTTTCTGTTCAATGCCTACAAAACCATCAAGCATCTGTCTCAGATCGCTCTAAAACCCGACTCCGCCTTCACCCTCCAGCATCTGGACTTCTTCATTCCCAGAGTGAGGGAGGCTGGGAAAGAAGACTGGGTTCGAGATCTGGAGGAGATGCGGAGAATCGCAGTGGCTGAAGAAGCCAATAAAGACGCTCTGAGTTACCTGAAAGCTGGACTGGCTAAACTCTTCCTTGCAGGCAAATGACTGAGTCTAATCCAAATAAAACAGTGAACATGAAGACTGCAATGAGTAAAAATAAAAATATAAAAACAAAATAATTATGATTTAGGCTTTGACAATTGACAAATTCCTAAAATGAGTTTGTTTGAAACACTAGTTAAGCTTGGGAATTAAACAAATGTATAGCATTTTCTTATTTAGAATGATTTATGTGCCTGCAGAATGTTAAAGTTCCTCTTTGTGAAGGATTATATCAAAGATTATAGAATACACAAGATGTTTCACTCCTATAGTTTTGAATGGGGATCATGTAATGGCCAATATGGCTGCTCCAGTAAAGAAAGCCAAGCCCGTTAGTAAAGTAGCCAATCATTGATCACTATAAACTGATTATTCTCTGGGGGAGGGGCTTGGTAAAGATGTGTTTGTATGATAGTTTTTGCAGATTCATTGTTATGTAACCTATGTATAAAAAGCTTAAAATGCTTTAAAATGGTGAAATTTAATTGGTTTGAAAACAAATGTTCTCTGGTTATGTAATCTGTATTAAATAAATGTTTTTACCCTTATGAATTCTCATCTCCATCATTAAAGTGCAAATCACATGACTTACATCAAGAGAACACAAAAAGGTCACTGTTGATTTTGGGAGATTTGCCATCAGGAATAAGTACAGTCAATAAGTCAATCAATCTGATGCACAATTTCATGGCAGATACACAGACTTTCATTTGTTAACTGTATGCATTTGACTGAGCCTTTAATACAGGGGTGTCCAAATTCGGTCCAGGAGGGCCGGTGTCCTGCAGATTTTAGCTTCAACTTGCCTCAACACACCTGAATGGTTGTTTCTAGAAACCTTTGTTGATTAGCTAGCCCAGGTGTGTCTGATTGGGGTTGGAGTTGAGTTTGAGACCATTGTTTTAATACAAAAAAAAATAAATGTTCCCTTGACTGAATGGGTCAATTTTTAAGTAATTTAGATGGTATTTAAGCCCATGAAGTCCCGCCTGGGTCAGTTGGCATTTCTGTGTGGAGTTTGCATGTTCTCCCTGTGTTGGTGTGGGTTTCCTCCAGGTGCTCCGGTTTCCCCCACAGTCCAAACACTTGTAGTATAGGGGAATTTGATTAACTAAATTGCCCGTAGTGTATGTGTGTGTGAATGAGTGTGTATGGATGTTTCCCAGAGCTGAGTTGCAGCTGGAAGGGCACCGGCTGTGTAAAAAATACAGTATGCTGAATAAGTTGGTGGTTCATTCTGCTGTGACAACCCATGATGAATAAAGGGACAAAGGTGAAAAAAAATTAATGAATTACATTTACATTTAGTAATTTAGCAGACGCTTTTATCCAAAGCGACTTACAAATGAGGACAAGGAAGCAATTTACACAACTATAAGAGCAACAATGAAGAAGTGCTGTAGGCAAGTTTCAGGTGTGTAAAGTGTAAGAGGCAAAACATTAGTAATATTTGTTTATTTTTTTGTTGTACAGTTAGCGGTGGAGCCAGAAAGGCAACTGCAGATTAGGAAGGAAAGTGGAGACTAAATAGTTGAGTTTTTAGTGGTTTCTTGAAAGTAGCGAGTGACTCTGCTGTTCTGATGCAGTTAGGGAGTTCATTTCACCAACTGGGCAGATTGAATGCGAGCGTTCGGGAAAGTGATTTCTTCCCTCTTTGGTATGAAACCACGAGGCGACGTTCATTCACAGAACGCAAGTTTCTGGAGGGCACATAGATCTGCAGAAGTGAGAGCAGATAAGAAGGAGCAAAGCCAGAAGTCGCTTTGTAAGCAAACATCAGAGCTTTGATAAATAAAGCCCATGATGGAGGTGTTGCTAAATCTACATGCTACTTCTTCACAGTCAAGAAAAATAAAACTAAGCATTTAAAAACCCTACTCAAAATTACAAAAAGTTGATTTTGAGCAAAAAAAAATTGCATAATTAAAATACATTGAAGGTTTAGTTTCTTTACCAGTTTTAAGTTTACATAACAGAAGTTTATTACCCAAAATGTTAACAATTATTTTATATTTTAGCAATAAATACTTAATGTCTACAATTTAACTGTAAATGGTGTTTACAGATTAAGAGATTATATTGGGTTAATTCATTTTTGTAGTCCATTCGGAGAACACTGGAAGGACTACACCTGAACACCAGCAGACACAGCATAGTTTTCAGAAATTGTTCACATAATATGATCATAAGCAAAGCATTATATATATATATATATTATTGTTCAGGTTTACATTTATTTTATTTTTCAAATGTGTTAAAACTGTTTGTGCAATAAAGAGATCATGTAAGTTTGTTTCCTTGTAAGAACATGAACTGTTTACTGTAACCCACAGAAATGAGACTCATCTAGTTGCATTCTAAAAATTCCAACCACTAAGAAAGTAAAACTGAATGTTACACAACAATCTACTATTTCAATGCCAGAGAGTCCAGAAAGTATTTTATTTATTTAAAACGAATAAAAAAAAAAATCTACTGCATTTTACCTAATAATATTGATTTTCATTTTATTACATTGCTATTTTATCTAGAAAAACTAATCTTTCACTCATTTAAATGATTTTCTTTAAATTGTTTCAAAGCCCAATCAATCATTAGATGCCAAATTAAAATGGGAGGGGCTACAGCCAGTTAGGTTTGTTTATTAAAGCAGTATTTCCATCAAAGCTTCCAATTCAAAAAGACACTCGACGCAGAGACTGACGTAAGTGTATTAGGTCAGAATTAGCTTTACTGCAAAATTGTATTGCTCAAAATTGTTTGACATAAAATTATACAACTCAAAGATTACATGTATAGCAAACCTCACAATTAGAAAACATTACTCAACATGGTAGTGCTGAGTTCTGCTGTCAGCAGACTGGGGAGCAAAACAGAGACTCTTTAGTGAAGGATACACTGAGTCCAGTGAACACCATGAGCACAAGGTGAGTTGAAACGCAAGCTTTCTAAAGGGGGTAAATGTTTGTTTGGTTTTCCAATAGTTGGATAATTGGTGAAATGTATCTTCTCCAGTAATGCTTATTTATGAACTGCTTTTACAACAATCCAGCAGTTGATGACTCAAGCCTAATCTAGTGCTTCATCTCTGCAAAGACAACACTAGACTGCATGATCATTTCACTGGCTGTAATGTTTTAAGGCATCACCTGATGGGCTGAAAATAGAATAATGCATTGCTCATTTTCTCACGCCACTAATTAAAATGTCAAATCAGACTGAAATAAAATCAAACAAACTGGGGACCTTGGGTAATTCATACACTGCGGGCATATGAAACAAAATAATCAGTCTGTGCAAGGAAATGAACGGCATTTAGAGCACTATTAGCTGTAATCCACAGCCTTGTTCAATTCAAGGCATCTTTAATTATTTCATGCAGATTGTGTCAATACAGCTTAACATAGATGAAGATAATAGAAAAAAAAGCCTAGGGATGCACTCGTACTAGGCTATACAAACCTCCATTTCATGGTTGGTTTGGCCCAGGCGCAGTTCAGTTTGCCAGCCATGGACCAGTTAGAATAGTTGTGGTGGAGTGTGGTTTGGGTGGGCTCTGGTGCAGTACAATTATAGTACGAGAGCAAAACATGCCTGAGCATGAAACTAAAGACACATTATCACCTTTTTAGGGACGGTTTCATTTATTAATTATTCTTACTTTTCAATGAATGTGAACTGTCAAAGTTTATTAAAGATGCAGACCCCTCAAAAATACAATGTGAGTGTCGGCCGAGGGGGAGGACAATCGCACCTAGGCATGGTTCAAGACAACTGTGCCTAGTGTGAGAACACCCTAAGCTAAACTTAAACGGCACCTATTTGACCACTTATTAAAAGATTTAATATTAATATTATGGTTCTTCCGAGTGTGCCAGTTTAGGTTCAGTTTAAAACACACTTCAGACTTGTTTATTATAATGTGATAAATGTGTCATGTTAGGGGCTTGTACACAGGTCATTGTTTTAGGGGTGTGATGCTTCATATGGAAATTAGTTTCGACAACCCGCCCAACTTAACAAGGGGAAGGAGCCAAGAGTTTTGTGTATGGCAACAGACAAGCAGACAGAGAGAAGCATCATGAGTGAGAGGACCAGCATTCAGCCGTACATGTACGACCCGGACTCGGACACAGAACAAGCAGAGACGACTGTTCCTAATATTCCTAATGTGCCAGAATGTGTCAGAGTGGTAGTTACACAATCATTTGTCTTTGTATAGTTTTACATCCGATATGTAGCGATGCATGCGTCATCCGTATAGGGATGCAACGATTAACCGGTTTCACTATTATCAGGGCTTTAATTCGTCACAGTTAATTAATTCTAAAGGTTTCTCAACACTGTGTTTCTGCACGGACAAAACAGCGACAACTAAGTGATGCCAACTGTGTGCTAGTTTAAAGTTACGAGCTTGAACAATAGGACTAATAACCACGCACACTGGATTAACTCTGACTGAGGCTATAACTAAGGCAAGATCATTGTTTCCAATAGAGGGATGCGCACGCAAAGCAATGCACCCACACTTTGCAGCCGCACCTAGTTGAGTTGACAGGGAGTGCCTGTGACCGCGGGAGACGCAAACGGCTGAAGTTTAAGGAAGTCGAAATGAAAAGTGCACAGGTTTGCAAAGCCACCTAAAGTTACAAACAATAGTGCCGATGAGAGCGATCATGTGGTGAATGTTGATCCGCCAGCCTAGATCATTCGAGTGTTTTCGGAGAGAGCGCAGAAAGACTTGGTGAATCAGCTGTTTTTAATGACCTGAATCTCGATACGTTGCATTCACAGCGTGTTCAGCGCAAATGCCGGCTAAATGTAAAATCTCTGTTGCTCATTTGCAGAAAGACGATTAAGGCTCTTGTGTTGAGCTCAATGAGCCTTACATTCAAAAATAGTGCAAGGGTGTTCCTTTGGGGACATTGCTTTGACTCACACGCTAAAAATGGCCGACAAGACACAATTAAATGAGAATGTGGTAATACGTGCCTTTCAATCAATATTAGTGGGCGGGGTGAACACACTTCTATGTCAAGTTGTGGTTGGTCTCAAAACCGCTCCAAATGGTCCACCGTTTTTACGTTTATTCATTCATTTATTTTCTTTTCTGCTTAGTCCCTTTATTAATCCAATTTGGACTGTGGGGAGAACCGGAGCTCCTGGAGGAAACCCACAGAAACACGGGGAGAACATGCAAACTCCACACAGAAACACCAACTGACCTAGCCGAGGCTCGAACCAGCAACTTGCTGTGAGGCAGCAGCACTACCTATTGCGCCACTGTGTTGCCTCGTTTTTATGCTGTTAAATATATTTAAAAAAAGACTGGGTGTGTTTATCACCCCAATGTGACGGTCCATACATTATATCTACGCACGTCCGTCCAAACAGCTTGAAAAGTAGATTTTTCACCATAGGTGCCCTTTAAGGTAAACAGTATTAGGGTGTTCCCCACCATACACATTTAATATATAATCAAAAATAAAGATCATGTATGCCCAGTGTTCAGAGAAGAGAGCAGAGAACTGTTTGATTGTTTCTTCTGGTGATATGTTGAAAATAATGTTTCTTACATAGACAATTTGTTTTCCTTCACTAGACCTAAACATGTCACAAGAAGACAAGACTAACAGTCTAAATTAATACAGTAACAAATATCTAAATTGGTCCCATACAGTTATTTTTCTATTATAAATGTAAAATCACTTCATTTTAAACAAGAATGAAAATATTTTGTGTTTATGGCACACACTGAATGACTGAGGACATTTCATTATTCATAAAGGTACAGGAGATGTCACTGGGGTGGCACCTTTTCAAAAAGTACACATTTGTACTTAAAGGGTTCATATTGGTACATCAGAAGTATAAAACAGATTTTAAGTACCTAAACATTTTAAGAGGAACACATTTGTACTTTTTAGGTACTAATATGTACCCTTGAGGTATTATTATGGATCTTTTACGAACAAAATTGTACCTTTTAAAAAGGTACCATCCCAGTGACAGCTCACATACCTTTATTTCTGAGAGTGTGGTGTTAATTTATTGTTAAATTCTTGCAATACAAACAATCTGAGAAATATTTTCTTTCTTTTTTGTATTTTTACGGAAGACCAAGTCCTCAACCACGGAGTCTAAAACTGATTCATCAAGGTCCCCCAGCAAGATACCGTCTACAAACAGAGAGGAAATTGCTTGATGAAAATGAAAAAGTCAGGAAATGGACCTTTGGCACAAGAGATGCCAGTAAACCACACAAAATCTTTCTGCTGGTGGGAGAGACTGGCGTTGGTAAGACCACCATCATCAACACCATGGTCAACTACCTAATGGGAGTGAAGTTTGAGGAAGAAACTTGGTATGAAATCACAGAAGAAGCAGTCAGAGATCAGTCAGAATCCCAAACCTCTGAAATCACCATGTATGAGGTCTTTCCTGTCAAGAGCTCCATTTCTCTCACCATCATTGATACTCCAGGTTACGGAGACACTAGAGGACTGGAGAAAGATCTGGAAGTTGCAGAGAATTTATCTGCTCTGTTTCAGAACAACGATGGGGTTCGAGAAGTCGATGCTGTGTGTTTTGTGATTCAAGCATCTAAGAATCGTCTCTCAGACAGACAACACTACATTATCAGCTCAATTCTGTCTCTGTTTGGGAAAGACATTGTGAACAACATCGTGTTTTTAATCACACACTCTGATGGTCTTCCTCCTAAAAATGTCCTCAGTGCCATTAATAAAGCTAAAATCCCCTGCAGACGAGACAGAAGTGGCCAACCTGTTCATTTCCAATTTAACAATCGTCAAGCTGAACCTCGACAAACTAAAGAACGTTACATTCGTGCTCAAAGAGATGCTTGGGAAGACAGTATGAATGAAATGAAAGGATTCTTTCAATCTCTGACTGCAAGGAACAGAAGAAGTTTAGAGTTGACTTCAGATGTCCTGATTGAGCGCATTCAGTTTGAAGCCTCCATCAGCAACTTACAACTGAGAATCCAAGAGAAAGAGCTGAAAAAGGCAGAGAAACTTCAGATTCAGGAGGCAATGAAACTAAACAAGGGAAAGATTGAAGAATGTAAAAACTTCAACATTAAATTTGAAAGAAGTGTCAAAAAGAAGGTGCCTATTGAGAATGCATCATGGAAGAACAGAAAGGCGACGACCTGCACGGTCTGTGAGGAGAACTGCCATGAGTTTGATTGCTGGTGGGTTTCCAGTCCCAAGAAATGTGAAGTCATGAGAAATGACTACTGCACAGTGTGCACAGGGAAGTGCCACTACAGCAAACACGTCAAAGAGAACAAGAAATACGTCTGCACCACGTCAAGCTACATGATGGAGTTTGATTTGATAAAAAAAGAATATGAAAACACTCAAACACAAACCAAGACATATTTAGTTTTAATGGAAGATCTTGAAGAAGAGCTGAAGGAGATTGATGAACAAAAAGCAGATCTTATTGTCAGTGCCTACCACAACATCAAGCATCTGTCTCAGATCGCTCTAAAACCAGACTCTGCCTTCACCCTCCAGCATCTGGACTTCTTCATCCCCAGAGTGAGGGAGGCTGGGAAAGCAGAATGGGTTCGAGAACTGGAGGAGATGAGGAGAATGGCAGTGGCTGATGAAGCTAATAAAGATGCTTTAAGTTACCTGAAAGCTGGAATGGCTAAACTCTTCCTTGGTGAAAAATGACTGAATCCAGCACAGTGAACACTGACTGCAGAGAACTGCTGCTACTGTAAGAAGTACAGACAGCAGTTACCCACAGTAATGATACAGACACTGTGACTGGTCCATCATCAGTTAAGTGTCATCGACCCCACTATCCTGATCAAGCTGACTCGAGACTAATGGGTAACTGGTCACAAGAACACTTTTCTTGGCCTCTGGAAATTGGGTTTTCAAAATTCAAGAACCAAAATCTCTCAGCATTTTTAATCACCAAACATTAAAGTTCATAAGATCATCTTGAAAACGATGATAGCAGACTTTTAATGAAAGTACTTTAATTGCTCTTGTATAAATCCCCCTGAATCCTGTATATGTTAACAATGCATTAATCATACGTAACCATTATGCTTTGACTTATCACAAATGTACCATTATGTGTGTTATTTGAGAAGAATGATGGAAACCCTTTCCCTTTCTTTCTTTTATTTCTAGATATGTAAAATGTATCATGTTCTGGTTATAAGTGTATGCATAATACTATATTTCTAAGCACCATGGCTCATGTGAGTGAGTCGCATCAAAGCTGCATGTGCTGACTTGGGACTGTCACACAGCTCCACGGACAATGCCTTATTGAGCCATCTATATTAGGGGCCGGAAACTTTGATGGTGAAAACCCATCACCCCAAAACTTCCTGGTCTAGTTCAGTCTCAGGACAGTCAAGCAGAGCCAGAGTGAAGCAAGCAGCAGCAGCAGCTGTTGAGGAGTTGAGTTGCTTTGCTTTCAGGACAATTCTTCACCAGGTCCTGTCCAGGTGGACTCGGATCAAGATGGGATGGGTCCAGCCTCAAACTTCCCCACCTTCCGTTTATACTTCTTTATTTTCTTTCCGTTGAGTCTAGTTAAGTTGCGTCGCAAAACCAGTTGACATGACTGCTGTTTGGCCATCTCCAATTTGAACTACCGGCCTTTACTTTATCAGCAGCCTGAGATACATCACTTCAACTGCAAGCCAACATCTGGTGTCCTTGACTCTTTATGGTTCTGGTTTTAAAATCTAGGCTTTAGTAAAGAACCTTGTCGTTTTCAATGTAAACCTGTCTTTTGATTTTTTTGTCCAAAACACCATCTCAGAAATACTGCAAGGTGGTGGCCATATGTTAAACTTTACAGTTGCAGAAAAAATGATAAATTCCTTTGTCATCTCACGGTAGGACTATTGTAATGCTGTTTTGTCTGGTGTTTCTAATTCTACTCTTATTAAGCTCTGCTGCCCGAATTTGAACAGGCACAAGGATTGGATGTCACTAGTATTGGAATCCCTGCATTGGCTTTAGGGTAAATTTTAAAATAATGATGCTCACTTTTAAAGCTTTACATGGCCTGGCACCACATTACATTACTGAAGCATTACATCCATACACTCCTAGCCATAGATTGCGTTTATCTCAGTCAAACATACTGGTATTTCACACAAATTTCAGATCTATGGGTAATTTGGCTTTTTTCTTCTATGGTCCTGTCCTCTGAAATTCTCTGCCTTCTGATCTTAGAGAAATCTAGAATTGTTACTTTTAAAGTTCACTTGAAAACATTTTTTAAACTTTCTTGTACTTGTTGATTTTGTATTATTTGATTGTATTGTTTACAGTGTTCAGCGCTTTGTGAAACTGCTGTTAAATAAAGTTCGTTTACATTATTATTATCACTATTATTTCCACTCCTCCATAAACTGCCACCTTAGTGATCCTAACGACCATGCTGTTGGAGGCTAATGCCCCTGGTAGGGTCTCCCAAACCGAAAAGATCTTAAGTGACAGGTCAGACTAAGTAGAATTTATATCAATTCATCACAGACCATACATCTAGTGGTCATGTTTTATCCCACGGAGTCCGGCCAGGCTCAACCTGATCAGGACCACAATAACCTGATTGTCAGGGACAGAAACTGGCTCTTGGGCACACCACCTCACCAGAAAAAAAAGTCTGAGCTTGTGTAGGAGATTGAAAGTTACCCACTAGAGATAATCGGACTCACCTCCACACACAGTTTGAGTTCTGGGACTCAAATTCTTATGAAGGACTGGTCTTTTTTTAACAACTCTGGAGTTGTCCACGGCAAGAGGTGGCAAGTTGGTGTGGATTTGCTTGTAGCTCCTCAATTTAGCAGCCATGTGTTGACGTTTTCCCCGCTAAATGAGTGTCACCTTTGGGACGAGGATAGGTCTCTCACTGTAGTTTGTGACTATAGACCAAACACCAGTGCACAGTACCTGGCACACTTGGAGTTCTTGGCAGGGGTGCTGGAAGATGCTCCAACTGGGCACTCCATTATTCAGCTGGGGAATTTCAATGCCTACATGGGTAATAGGAGCAATACCATGACAAACATCAGGTTCCAGCATAAGCGTGTCCATCAGTGCATATGGCACCAGGACACCCTAGGCCAGAGGTCAATGATTGACTTTATCATCTGATCTTCGAGCATATATCTTGGACACTTGGGTAATGAGAGGGGCAGAGCTGTCAACTGATCAACACCTGGTGGTGAGTTGGATCCGCTGGCAGAGGGGGGAAAGCTGTACACACCTAGCAGGCGCAAGCATATTGTGAGGGTCCTCTGGGAACATCTGGCTTGACCACGTCATGTGGATTTTCAACACTCATTTGCTAAAGAGATTTGACCAGATGCTGAGGGAGGCTTGAGACATTGAGACTGAGTGGTCCATGTTCTCTGACCGCATTGTTGATGCAGCCATGAGGAGTGGTGGCAGCAAAGACTGCTGAGGCATCTGATGGGTACCAACTGCCAAGCATGCTGCAGCTTGAGTGGTTGTGGAAGCAAAAGCTCAGGCCTGGGAGGAGTTTGAGGAGACTATGAAGGAAGACTGCCAGTCAACCTCACTGTCCAGTGCCTCAGGATGGGGAAGTAGTTCCACACCAACACTCTTTACAGCAAAAATGGGGAGCTGTTAACTTTGCATGTTTGAGTCCGGCATGGTTGCTCTTTACTACCAGTTCTGTTAAAAAAAAATTATGAACAGAATTTTCCTGTCCATGAGAGACTAGTGATGTCAGTGAGAGACTAACAAAGAGAGTCTAGTCATGTCATATGAGAGAAACTTTTGATGTCCCAAGGATGTCCTGTGAGAAACTAGTGATATCCTTTGTGAGACTAGTGATGGTGATTTTCCCAGGTGATCTCCCATCCAGGTACTGAACAGGTACTCAAACCTACTCTGCTTCAGAGGGCAACCAAAGTTGATAATGTAAAACACATTATTTTAAAAAAAAGAGTTCATAAATTGCTCTCCTATTTAAATCCCAACCGTACCTTAGTTACATATTCAACTTTGATTTTACAGACTTTGAGTGCCAATATTTGATCAGTGTTTTATTATAAAATACAATAGTACAAAACATTTTATTTACATTACAAAAACATTTGTTGTTGCTTAACTTGCACAGGTGAGCTGCTCAACTCAAGAAAAGTAATGATGTACCTAAAAAAAATCAATGAGGTCAATCTTGATAACATACTAATGTTAGATCAACTTTGCAGAGATTCACTCATTTCACAAAATGTGTCAGATTAAAAAAAGGTTTGCACTTCGGTTTGTCACATGACAAACTGGAGACATGTGGTGCTACTGGAAAAACCAGAGCAAAACAAGACATTGGTATCGTCATCCTGCTCTTTAAAAAGTTTCTCAAATGAAGCAAGAGCTTAGCTGTAACAACTCAACAATATGGGTTCGAGCGCAGTAAGTATTATAAATGCCCTCAGAATAAACATTATAAAAATGTTAAGAACATTATTAACAAGTGTGTGTATGTATGTATATATATATATATATATATATATATATATATATATATATATATATATATATATATATATTTTTTTTTTTTTTTTTTTTGTGAAACAAGTTTGTTAGTCAGAAGTTGCGTTAATGTCTTTATAAAATGACACTCTGTGATCAATAGCAAAGTTTCTGTTGTATGTGTTTTACTTTTGTCATAAGTTATGATGGTTTCCACATTTCCTTGCAACACTGAACCTTCCTATCTCGATATAAAATTCAAGACTTTGACTATACATGTACAATAAAAATAAATAAATAAATAAAATAATATCTAAATAGATAAAGCAGGATGTACATAAAATTGTTGACTGTTCATACAACTATATTCCTGATCTTGACAGATCCGCAGATTTCAAACAAACGTCTTTAACATTATCACTTGAGTATTGTTTATAAAAAAAATGAAAGTGTATAAAGAGGAAAGCGTGGGGATGCAGAGAGAGAGAGTAAGGATCAGCATAGGACTTTGAAGGGGGAATGGAAGTCGGGTCATCGTGGACAACATGGTGCCATGTGTTGAAGCACTACCCATTGGTGCCGATGTGTTCTTTAAATATTCTTGAAAACATCTTTTGTGTTCCACAGAGGGAAAAAGTCATGGATCTCGATGGATGACATGAGAGTACATGTAGACAGAATCGAAATTTTGGGGTTACCTGTCAATTAAACCAAACAACAATGCAATCGCAAACTAACCTCAATCGGAAGACCAGCATGCAGTAAGTCAAAGTCTTAATTACTTTTTTGATTCTGAACTTTATTGTATAAAGGCTGCTCTGTAATAATAATAATAATAATAATAATAATAATAACAATAATAATAATAATAATAATAATAATACTTATTAATACACAAATCTTATAAATGTTCTTATAAATGTTTTCTTACATCTGTGTATTACAGAAGGCCAAATCCTCCACCACGAAGACCAAAACTGATTCATCGAGGTCCTCCAGCAAGATACCTTCTGCATACAGAGAGGAAATTGCTTGATGCAAATGGAAAAGTCAGGAAATGGACCTTTGGCAAAAGAGATGGCAGTAAACCAAATAAAATCATCCTGCTGGTGGGAGAGACTGGCGTTGGTAAGACCACCATCATCAACACCATGGTCAACTATCTAATGGGAGTGAAGTTTGAGGAAGAAACTTGGTATGAAATCACAGAAGAAGAAGCCAGAGATCAGTCAGAATCCCAAACCTCTGAAATCACCATGTATGAGGTCTTTCCTGTGAAGAGCTCCATATCTCTCACCATCATTGATACTCCAGGTTACGGAGACACTAGAGGACTGGAGAAAGATCTGGAAGTTGCTGAGAATTTATCTGCTCTGTTTCAGAACAACGATGGGGTTCGAGAAGTCGATGCTGTGTGTTTTGTGATTCAAGCGGCCAAGAATCGTCTCTCAGACAGACAACACTACATTATCAGCTCAATTCTGTCTCTGTTTGGGAAAGACATTGTGAACAACATCGTGTTTTTAATCACACACTCTGATGGTCTTCCTCCTAAAAATGTCCTCGGTGCCATTAATAAAGCTAAAATCCCCTGCAGACGAGACAGAAATGGTGAACCTGTTCATTTCCTGTTCAACAATCGTCAGGGTGAACCTCGTCACAATGAGAAACGCTACATTCGTGCCCAAAGAGACGCCTGGGAGGACAGTATGGATGGCATGAAAGAGTTCTTTCAATCTCTGACTGCAAGGAACAGAAGAAGTTTAGAGTTGACTTCAGATGTCCTGATTGAGCGCATTCAGTTTGAAGCCTCCATCAGCAACTTACAACTGAGAGTCCAAGAGAAGGAATCAAAGAAATCTGAAAAACTTCAGATTCAAGAGGCAATGAAAAAGAACAAGGAAAAGATTGAGGAGCGAAGGAATTTTGGCATAACAGTAGAAAAAACAGTCAAAATGAAGGTGCCTATTGAGAATGCATCATGGAAGAACAGAAAGGCGACGACCTGCACCGTCTGTGAGGAGAACTGCCATGAGTTTGACTGCTGGTGGGTTTCTGGTCCCAGTCAATGTGAAGTCATGAGAAATGGTTTCTGCACTGTGTGCACAGGGAAGTGCCACTACACTAAACACGTCAAAGAGAACAAGAAATATGTAATCAGCACTTCAAGCTACATGATGGAATTTGACTACGTAAAAAAGGAATGTGAAAAAGTTCAAAAACTAACCAAGACATATTTAGCTTTAATGGAAGATCTTGACAACGAGCTGAAGGAGATTGAGGAACAAAAGCAAATGTTACTGTCTGATGCCTACCACAACATCAAGCATCTGTCTCAGATCGCTCTAAAACCAGACTCCGCCTTCACCCTCCAGCATCTGGACTTCTTCATCCCCAGAGTGAGGGAGGCTGGGAAAAAAGACTGGGTTCGGGAACTGGAGGAGATGAGGAGGATGGCAGTGGCTGAAGAAGCCAATAAAGACGCTCTGAGTTACCTGAAAGCTGGACTGGCTAAACTCTTCCTTGGTGAAAAATGACTGATACCAACAGGGCAAGGTGACAAATCAATGCAGGTGTTCAATTCAGCACACAAGATGTTCTACTTCACTCTTGCTTGTATGCAGCATAAGTGAATATATGGGATGACATTTCTACTATTTGTGCCAACCATGACATTGACGTTGAACTGAACTGAGTAATCATTGAACTAGTCTTCATCAGTCCACTTGCTTGATATGCTTCATGTCCTTCTCAGTGATAAATTCATATCCGTTCATTATTGCATGTTCATGTTTACAGTCTGCAATGTTTAAAGCGCTATAGAAGACAATAATGACTTGACAGAAGATTAAAGCTTGTCT